CTCAAATTACTTAAAAGACTAATAATAATAATTTTGAAATCTTTTGTACTCAAATTACTCAAAAGAATAATAATAATAATTTTGAAATCTTCTATACTCAAATTTTCAGGTACTGTAGTATCGTCGTAATTTTCAGCATCATGTCAATATTTATTTTATATATACTAGGAAAATTTTCTTTCAAAACTTTAAAATGTATTTATTTAGGCTTATAATATTTTAGAAATATTTCATATTCAGAAAACATCTTTCATACAAATGTAAACTTTAATGTTTTTAGAAATAATTTGTTTACAAAAAAAAATTAAAAAAATTAAGTGACTTCACATCTTTTAATAATAATATAGAAAATTTTAGATAATTTTACATATGTTAATATATATTTTAGGAGTTTTTAATTGTTTAAACATACAAATTTTATGTTCTCTTGAACAAGCTAATTTTATATCGTTTATAATAAAATGATATACCGTAAATTATATGACATGTTAACACCACATCGTTAATTTATAAATATTATTTAATATCGTTTACCTCATTTTTAATTTATAATATATTTCTTTCTCTTTTAAGAAAAGATCAATAGTGGTTTCCCACTTCTTTCATTGGGTGACTCGAACTCGATACTTATTTATAATTATGATTTAATATTGTTTACCCGTGATTCTCACGGATACGCACTAATAATAATAATAATAATAATAATAATAATAATAATAATAATGACTAATACTACCCTCCCTATAATTACCACCTACTACCCGGCCCTCTGCCCAAATAGATAAGAAAGGCATATAAATTTTCAAACAGAATAATCAGACACAGTTTTCTTTCTTCAATGAGAAGAAGGAGAGAAACTTTGAAAAAATCAAGTTTGGATAGAAACCCCTCAAGTTATCAAAATTTGCACAATTACCACTGTTTTTATTTTCAAATAAGAAAAAAAAAGACTGGACTGGGCCCCTCTCTTCTACAAATATTGTGCATATATATATATATACATATATACATGTATGTACTTTTTACAAAGAAAAGCTTTGATCTTTTTCCCCAAGCTTAAAAAAAAGTTGAACACACATATCTTAATTTAGTAGTTTTTCTCATTTTGGCCTCCCAAAGAAAAGTTTGCCTTTTCTCATTATATTTTTTTAAAATAAAACTATAATCAATTATTCATTTTCCTTCCTCCTTTTTTTT